AGATAATGGTGAGCGAAGATTTTAGTTCAAATTTATCGATCTCAGCTTTATATCACGAGAAAAGTAGCGAAATCGACGTTATGAATTTTGCTGAAAAAAAAAGAACTGTTCTAGCTCTAGGAAGCTTCTCTGCTCATAACATTATTATTAAAACTCTAGTAACGTATGAAATAAGCTATACATACTATAGCCTCTTTGTTTCTTAACAAATTGAAATCAATAGAAATCTTAAGATGATCAAGACCAAGAAATGAATAATGGAGAAAGACAGCAGGAGAGTCAATCTACTGATGCGCCTGGTGTAACGCCAAATTACCCAAACCAACGGCATAAACAGATTGAGGTTTTGCTCAAAAATTTGATTAGCAAAAGCAATTTCTTACTCAGATTTTCCAGGTAACAAGCAGCAGTATTGCGAGAGAAACCAACGAACTCGCACCTGGACGCAGATCCAGTGAGGATGATGCGAAACCGATGTTTCTAACCTACTATAACCAGGTAATTTCTTGAACTACAGCTAACAGAGGAGAAGATCCGTTTTATTAAAGGAATGTAATGGTGTAATGGTAGCTATGCTGGACAACACAACCGTCCTTCAAGCAACAGACGAGTGCCTAAAATTGGGCTGTAAAGCAGTGAATGCTCACGTGCATTCAGATGGACGGTATACGGTGAGTATAAACGGATGCAATGATACATGCAGATAAATATTAGGTTTGATACTGTAAAATATGATAGATATAATGTAATCCACGTCCGAATTTAGCTAAAGCGGGTCACCTATGAAATTCCTATCCGTTCATTAAAGCAACTTTTTTCTATATAAATCACCGATTTTGTGATTTCGCCTTTGAATCACGTAGCTTTTAGAAATAAAATTCACCCAGATAGAGTCTTTCTCACGATTGCAGTCTGTGTACACCTTTTTCAAAATTAGAATTTGTAGCCGAAATTCCTCTTTTTTTAGTTTTCTTAGCCTTTACATATGCAGCCAAAACCGGTTGCCTTCATTTCTAGTCGGTAGCTTTACTTAGTCATGCCTATAATGTGCAGCCTTTCTTTGTATTTTTATTCATCGAGGCAGACATATTTCCGTAGAAAACAGAAGATTTCCAGTTATCT